CCGCGGAACACAGTTTGGGAAACGCTGGTCTACGTAGTAGAATAATGCCAACCAATGCAAACACTACGTAATGAATTTTTCCCCGACTTTCGATCCCAGCAAAATTCTTGGGCTTTATACTCTACCATTGTAAAATTATCGGTACTTATTTCAAGAATGGTTTTGCGAGTTGGCGCCTATAAACCGGTTTATATGTTTTTAAACTATCATTTTAATTCAATACATTCAACAACCTTTCATTTAAATGTGCCGTAGATAAGTTTGGCTTAGTCTATCACAACTATTTCTAGATTAAATTTTGATTACTGCATTTAAAATACAACTCCGACAAACCAAAATGATTAGTGAGGTATTTGATTAGGACTTATATTTACCAAAACACCACTAAATACTAACAAATAGTCCGCGAAAAACGCCAAAACGAGGTAATATTCAAAACCACCAAAGACTGTCTGAATGGCAGAAGTATCTGAGCGCTTCTGAAACGTTCATTGTTACGTCAAATTTTGGAATTATGCTGATTGGCCAATGTTACGGCAGTAAATAAGGAAGTGAATACTCGGGGATACATCCATAATTATAATCAGAGATTTATAAAGTTGTTATACATAAATACGCAACACTGACGCGATTCTCATATTTATGGCACATTTAAATTGTTTTGCGACCCAGAGCGGAGGGCTTCGCGACCCCGTAGTTGCGGACCTCTGGACTAGATGATCGGGGTTGAAGCCTGGATAGCATTCGGACGCATTCTCAGCATGGTAGACGAGAAGATGTAAAACTCACGCCCCTCGAACACTCAACAATAATTGAAATATTTTTAATTTTAATGAAAATGACAATTTACAGAAGTTGATTTGTATAAATTGCAATAATGGTGATATGCAAGAAATTAGTATGTAAATGGAATTTGAAATTTAAGGTAGACTTACAGTCTCCACACAAATTGTTGAAGAAAGTTGTCTCAAATTTACAATAAATTGGGATCTGGTCTTATTACACTGGCTTTGTATACAACACAATTAAAAAAGAAACAGTTTCTTCATTCCAATTTGAACACAATAATATTTTGCTTCATTTAGAATGCCCAACATTAGTAGGTTCAAAATATATTACAACGACGTGAGAACACAATTCAAATTTCCCAGCCAAGCATGCTTTGTAAGGGTACACTTTGTTTGAACTTTACAACAGCTCTTTTTGTGATTGTAACATAATCATCTGAAATATATTGAGAAAAACATACAGGATAAAAAAGGTGCAGTGCAAATCTTTGAATACAATACCTATGCAGAACAGCGATCAAATCATGAATTGCATAAAATGGTGCTGATTTTAGCAATGAAAGTGATTGAGACTTTCACAGTCGTGATGAATTGATTTTGCTCTATCAAATATGACATACCTCAGCTCATTCTAAATTTTCTATCACCTATGGCAACTGCAATCACCTTTAGACTTATAAAGCTTGAATATGTTCCTGTTCCCTGGACATTTGTCCGGCTGACATTTGTTAGATTGTGGCAATGAGTTCACTGATACTGTTTTCCTATTTTTCAGATTTAAACTTCATCATAGTTCGTGTTTTTAATGTAAATATGATATAGGTATTACATTATATAGGCTCGGCGGTGTGGCGTATCGTGCTAAAAAATACGCTCGCCACCGCATCTCTGATTACTTCTCGTGGGATCGCAGGTTCGAATTCCACGCGGGGATGATCATGTGCGAGAGGATTGCTGGACTCATAGCCGCCGTAGGGTGGTTCACGTAACCGCTGGTCGATTACGGCTTCCTCCACCATCAAGTCCATGCTTCTCAATACAAATAACCGGCTAAAACAAATAACTGGCTAACTAATCCCATACCCGACCTGGACTGGTAATCGGACGAGAGGCCGTGGTTTGCTATATGAATAAGCCGTCTTATCGGCTTTTCTCTCCCCCGGGATAAATATGTAAATCCTATCCTATAAAATCAAAAACGACAATGAACATTGTATATGTTAAACAGCCATGTCATATCAGTATTTAAAAAAACTTTGTGTCATTTCACCTTGCCATTAATGTACATAATGAAATAAATACTATAATATATGATTGTTTAAAATCCACATGTTTGGTTATTTCATCATTGGAGTCATTTGGCCCAATGCTTTATTTGAAAGGTTTGTCATACTTTATTCTGTGAGGTTTCCGATTACAATTTATATTCACCTTGTGTAGTCAAGTCAGCAACAGCAAAACAGACGTCTTTCAGTCTGTGATTTCACTCCGCAAGTTGCCACCTAAGTCACAATCTCTTCTAATTTAGGCTATGGAGTATGAATTAGGTCTCATTTAGGGGATGGCTTATATTAAAATGATTTTCATAATTCAGACTTGGTCTTATTTTCAGGTAAATGCAGTAGTAAGCAGTGGTACTGTTAGTTAGCCAGTTATTTGTTTTCGGAAGCATGAACTTGATGGTGGAGGAAGCCGTAAGTGAAGTAGTGAACCACCCTTCGGCGGCGAGGAGTACAGAAATCCTCTCGCACATGATTATCCCCGCATGGAATTCGAACCTGCTATCCCACGAAAGGTAATCAGAGATGCGGTGGCGAGCGTATTTCTAACTCGCGAATGAAAAGCGAAACCGCCGCGTCCCCCCAAAGTAAAATAAAAATAGTGTCTGGCAGGAGCCGTCACGGAAGCGGAATGACCTTTGCTCCTGCCCGACAACTGTATGCTGTATCGCATGCGCCAGCCAGCCACAGCCAGGTATTGCAGTATTGGTGGTGCCAGTAAAGCAAGGTACCGTATACTTGCAACTTGTATGCCTCTTTGCATATAACTTACAGCTATAACAGCATCCATTCTGGACGGGAATTACGTTTTCTTTTAGTACATATCGGTACCGGTAAGGTATTCATCTTTCAATACGGTACCAGTAGCCTACCGGTTCTAAACAATACAGCTGTACTGGTACTAGGGTTGCCAACTATCTATGAAAAGTCTCAATAAAGGACATAGATTACCGTCATCATTTATTTTGTGACATGCACAGATGCAGGAAAGAACAATATAAAACAATGAAATACAAATTATATACAAGCTAAAAAGATATATTTAAAAATCGGGTCTCGTGTAGTTTCGTACCCAACGTACTTCTAGTGGGCGTAGCATAACAATTTTTGATATGTCAATCCTAACCCTCATCTGATTACGCCATCCAAAAATTAAATCACTACGACATCACAATCACGTCATAGAGCTTGCCAAATATACACACGATCGACCGAAATGGCATTGGCGCCGACAAACTGACTGACGTTATCGGTCTCTCTCCTATTGGAATCGTTGCGACGAGAGAACTAACTGTTCGATTTCGGGTGCTCGTTTGCGCGTTTTGGATGGCAGTTTGTATAGTTTAAAGGGCTCTATTACGTCACTGTGACGTCGTAATGACGTAATTTTTGGATGGCGTAGTCAGGTGGGGGTTAGGATTGATACGTGAAAAAATTGTCATGCTACGCCCACTAGAAGTATGTTAGGTAAGAAACAACATGAGACCCAAAAAATCTTCATGTGTTTTAATGTTTATTTAACATTGACCCAATCAAGCTGCATTTCAGCATTCTGTGAACAGTTTAGTGCTTTGAATCGTGCCAAATTTTTTTTGAATGAGTGCAACTTCATGGAATAGGTCGAACATATTCAAATTAAGTTTGTCTTTTAGCTTCAAATGCTCTACAATTTTTACAAGTGTCTGATATTTTGGAGAAAGATTATCCAAAAGAGATAATTTTCCAAATGTTGAGTTTTCATTGAAAGTGAAATCTTTTTTCCAAATACGTTATCGCACTTGCCATATTCGGAAAATTAATGAAAAACATTTGAAATTGTTAATAAAATTGGTATATCTTTGGCTATTTGAGCCGTACCAAAGCGAAATTAAAAAGAATAATTAAAAGCTTGCAAATACTCAAACAGAGGCGATTTACAAACGAAACAATATCAAACACAGTACTATAACTATCGGGCAGAACGACGCTGGAAAAAATAAAGGACAATTATCATCTTAAAAAGGACAAGGACTAAAATCTCAAATAAAGGATTGTCCTTTGAAATAAAGGACGGTTGGCTACCCTAACCGGTACGGTATTCATATAGGATTTACATATTTGTCCAGGGAGAGAGGAAAGGCGATAAGAAGGCTTAATCATATGGTGAACCAGTCTCTCCTCCGGTTTCCAGTTTGTTTTGCAGCCTACGTAACTGCTGGTCGGTTACGGCTTCCTCCACCATCAAGTTCATGCTTTCGAAAACAAATAACTGGCTAACTAATCCCATAACCGACCTGTACTGGTAACTGGGCGAGGGCCGTGGTTCGCCACATGATTAAGCCGTCCTATCGGCTTTCCTCTCCCCCGGGATAAATATGTAAATCCTGTCCTATCATGCTTTCATTCTCATCTGACAACAGTCTGATGTAATTTTTGCTTAAATTCAGAATTTTTTTAAAATAATGTCTATCGCATCAAGATGCCTGAACAGTGTATCATTGTGTCAAGCAACTCCTGCCTGGTACCCAGTTTTGAAAAGATATCACAGAAAACGGCAAGAAGACGATAACAATGTTGTTGTAGAAAGACCGGTACTATGGAAAAAACTTGATGAAAAAGCTCGTTTAAAACAATTTCAACACTTGGACTCACCTAAAGAAAAATCTGTAGATTTTCAGTCAAAATTGAAACAATATGTGGATGAAATAAAGCTTAATAGCCTTGTTACCAAACCATTGCTTAAAACTATTTCACCCAGCACTCTCAAACATCCCTTTTCCAAATTACTAGCTGGTGAACTGGAAAAAGATGAAGATCGAATTCAAATTGATGATAGTACACTTAGAGAACTTGCAAGGCTTCATGCATATTTCATAGAAATGCCAGGTCGACTTAAAATTCCAAAGTGTAATTTTGATTCTTTTCTTATACTGAGTTGAAGGTCCTGTTACAAAAGTGTCTTTCAAGGTCTTCAGGCTTCAACTTTTTAATGCACAAAAGTGCAATGAGATCAAATGGTAAACGGCAAAAAGCAAAGAATACTGTGGTTGAAGAAAATTATGGCAGCGTTTTATTTCGTCGAAACATGGTCCCTTATCATCATGTGGAAAAAGAAACTAGAGTATTTTGTAATTGGCATTTGCTATCTGGAGCACCACTTGATAATCCAATTATTTTTGATATGGGATTTGAAGACTTGATGAAGAGGAAGAGCTTGGTTGATTTATGTGCACAGCTCACCACGACTTTAAATTATAATACAACAGTACACTACCCAGTACCTCTATTGTTTGCAAATCTTGACCAGGATTCTTTTTTTTATCGACGTATGAAACAGTTTAATGTGCATTCTTTTCCGGACGGTTGTATGTCTGTCACAGAGAAGGGATTAACTGATCTCGATAATATTCCAATTGAAAGTTTGATATATTTATCGCCAGATGCCACAGAAACAATCAACGAGTACCAAGAAGACAAAGTTTATGTCATTGGGGGTCTGGTAGACCTCGGGGCAGTACAAGCACAAAAGACCACATTGACGATTGCAAACGAATTAGGCATTAAAAGGCAGAAGCTGCCATTATCTAAATATTTGTTGTGGGGAAATAGATCGGGTCGGCGCACCTTGTCTCTTGATATAATATTTAAGGTATTGCTGGAGCTTCGATCAACTGGAAACTGGGCCAAAGCTTTTCAACATATTCCAGTAAGATGTCATAGAGGTCTCACAGAATGTGGAATAGAGGAAGCTGAGAAAACTAAAGATATCAATCTAATGCGACATTATGCAGATATCTTTCAACATAAAGAAAGAGTGTCAAAGCCAAGAAATAATAAAGACAGTTATCAGTTCCTTGCATGGGATTCTAAAGCATGACATTTCTGCACAATATATGATCACATTGGTGGTGTTAATTGGAGGCATTGCATTCCTATAATTAAGAACTATTAGTGCACATAAAATAATTTATTGAAGTCCATGCATATGGAACGCATAACTGAGTGATATCCCATGTTTCGGCATATGATATTATCCGAAGAACAGTAGACTTATTCAAAAATGCCTCTTTCTAATTCTGCCAGTGGAATACCACACTGAACATTGTTTGCTGATGTTCATAATCATAACATTTTAAATGATTTCAGAGTGAAAATGGTATTACAATTCCATTCGGGTCTTTATTTATTAAAACAACTTGTGGGATACTAATGTCGGCTTGACCATTCTTTACCAGATTCACTGGCGCTCCTGAAGTATGTGCACCAAGATGGTGCACAACCTAAACCCTAACCTGGTACATATACTATGTTCAGGTTACACACCTCACCTCTGTATGTTAAATCAATTGTATCAACTGAAACTATCTTGTGTATTGCTGTTTAATTTACAAGTTAATAATTACTATGAGACATAGTCCTGGTTATTGTGATTTGAATCAAGGCTACTTGATTCAGAAACGTGATTTCTGAAGGTTTTTAAAAACTTTATTCTATGGTTTTAAACAATTTTACATTTTGATGTGTATCATGCAACTATATATTATCGGCTCTTTCACTAATCACCAAGATGTAATTTCTTCCACTAAAGATTAGTAGAAAACTTGGTAATTAAATGATGCATTTCAAGTTTTGTTTGCATGGTTGTGATTGGTGAAACAGGTTGTTTGTATTATAGTTTTTTGAAATGATCTTTGGTAAAAACAGTAGAGTAGCATGCAAATCATCATTGTGTACTGAGTGAAGTTCCAGGTATGTCTGTTTCCAGTATTTATTGTATCATTTCGATTTCTGCATATTCACAGGTGCACATTACTTTAATAAGCATTTTCTTTTTATAATGGAAGATCCAAATGATTTATTTTTTGAAGAACCTGCAGTAGAAAATCCACCAGATATTTCTGAACCTGTTGCATCACAGCATGAGCAACCTCCAGGAAACGAATTGGAAGACATACCGCTTGCTACGAAAAAGAAAAGGAATTTAAAGCCTGTGCCAAAACTTGATGTAAGTCGATTAATGGGTCCCCGTGGGCTGCCTTGTCTTAATGCTGAATTTGAAAATGTAACGTTTCGAGGAAACGGTTACGAAGTAGAAGACTTGGATTTATTGATGTCACATCTTGAGCATTGGGCACACAGACTCTATCCTAGGATGACATTCGATGATTGTTTGGAGAAAGTGGAAAAACTAGGCCATAAGAAGGAAATTCAAACATGTATGAAAAAGTTGAGAATGGATATGCCACTTCTGGATTCAGACCAGCAAACAACAGTAATTACGGAAGATGGCCCACAGGGCAACAATTCTGAAGATGAAGATTTAAATTTTGACAAGGTCATTGGAGATATCCCATCAGGATGAAGGGGCAATAAAGACTAAATGTCTCACAAAATGAGTACTCTTATTTAGATGGTGCATAATCAATGAATCTGGAAAGAGATGGATAGAATTGACAATGGCAAAAATCATAGGTTTTTATGATCAATCATATTGTCCTACCACACAGAAAAATTACATCTATTTCATGAGTGGCCAAGCTGTATTCATCTGCGATCAACTGATTGTCACACATGAAAACGAAAGAATATCAAATTATAAAGTGAACATCAATGAGGTGCCCTTTAGCCCTCTTCAGGTCACAAAATTCAGGGATGCAGGCCAGGACCAAAACCTAATATAAACTAGATTCTAGAATGTGGATGACCATGAAACATGGGGTACGATTTCCTGATCTTGTCGGAGTGTGTCAAAAATTTGTCAATACCGCTCAGTTGTGTAAAGCCTCTGGTGGAATACCAAAAAAAATCAGTTTTGACAGGTAAGGTTTTAATTCTGTCTGGTTGGACACATTCCTTTTCAGATGCAAGTTGGCCACCCTCCGATTTATTTATTCACCTATACAGATACAAGACAAAGATTTTTCAACAACTGGATCATTTATTGCACAATGGAATAATATAGTTATTATTCTTGGGGGTGATCAATAGTGTAATCACATATAATAATAAAATAGTGTTGAATAAATTTTTTTATCTGGCATCAAGTGTCCGTCGCCTTTGTCCGCTGCATATGCTACATGAAGTCTAAAATAAAATGTTACACATCAATTACAATGCCTGATAGCTCAATGTTTTGTCATTTATTTTTACTGTATCACACAAATATTTGCATATTTTTACCCTGTATACAATCGAAATAGCATTGCTTTAAAGTCAAAAAATAAAACCAGTGATAGCCAACTAACCCGGTTTTGTTGCGGTAGACAGTCGTCATGAAATAGGTGATGGCACATAAACGCATCGATTAATGGAGTATCAAGGCCTGGTGTTGTCGGAAACATAAGTGGAAGACCACATGCATCACAAGATCTATCCTCTGAAAAAAACATTAATCCGATTACTACCGTAACTATGTTTGTGCAAATGTTTTATATGGGAAAAGACAAGAATTGCGTGAACATTTATAAAAAAAACTTAACCACTGCTGGAATCTAATACCGTAAACTGGAATCATCAATTGAGACAAACTTATTGAAAATTGGAGTTAGCCCCAAAACAATAAATCTGTACATTGTGGGCATGTGAATCATTGATTACACATAGGAATCCATATGATAAAATATCTAGACTCCTCTGAATACAATGCCTACCATCGACTCTGAATGCCCGTGTGTGAACTTTGTGCTGCCTCTTGTTAAGTTTGATGACGTCAGATGACAATATTCTTTTACACTGGAACCACATAGAAGTTTGCATGGAATAATCCTACAAAATATAAATGTTGTGAACAACTAATTGTAAAAAAGAAACTTTTGTGACAGCAAAGATTCGACTATAATAGTGACTGTCCCGAGATTCCTGGAATGAATAATCTTGCTCATTTGTTCACACCAGCAAGCTGTTACTTCTGTTCTTATTTACATCATTGATGGATATTCAAAATAACTAACTTTTTTTGAATATCCATTGATCAATGATGTAAACAGGAACGAAAGTAGCAGCTTCCTGGTGTGTACTTTTATTTAATTCCAACGTCTTCTTACCTGCAATATTTTAACAAGAGCATCCTTAAGACCTGGAATACGTAGTCCAGTAGGAATTCTTCGAATCAAAATTACAGGATCAACATGAGTCCCGATATTGTTCAGTAGATCTCTAATAAATTCTGAAACAAGTTGAAATGTGGGCATTAGGTATAAAGTTAATTTTTGAAAATACAATTGTTGTGACAACAACAGTATTGGCTGTTATGTAATTACAAAGATCACGCCATATCGATGAAAAGCTTTTTCATGAGCAAATAGGTAGGAGAAAAATTGGGTATATTTCCTGGCAAAAATAAATCGTAAGCCATCATAATTCAAAACCAAAATTGATTCACTTAACAAACTGGTGCCATAGTGAAGAATTAACCCAAAAACGTTCACTTTATTTACAGTGCACATGTATGTATTTTATGTATGTATTTTCGAACATTTTTTATTCATATTATTCGTTTTTTTTTCAGTTCTTAATATGGATTTTGAAACTGTTCGTTCGACTCTACAAAGATACTTTGAATCCATTGGTATGGAAATACATCCGTTCAAAATAGATTGGTACAACAATATGGTTGGAAATCCATTCAAACTAAAATTTGATCCCAATGCTATTGGATTTGTGGTGATCAGTGCTCCATCAATGTTTGAAAAGGCATTTGTACCTTACATCAAGAATGAACATGATACCACAAATTCACAAGTAAAGAAAAGGAATAATCAAGATGCTTATTCACAGAGAGATCCTCTCGATTCATGTTTAATTCATCATTTTAATGAAGCAAAACGACAAATTCCTGAAGCTGACGTTGAAATAATACATGATTTTGAGATTCTACCAAATAAAAGACCTAAAATATTAGTGCAAACAGCAGCGCACGTTGCAGGGGCAGCTTATTATTATCAAAAAGCAGATGCAGAAAACAAGCATGAAAAGACATGCCTTTGTGCAGTCCAACCTCGCAGCAATGGTATTAATGACGAAAATCCTGGAGACCTAAACCTAACAGATTGCACCTGTGAAAGCCCATGGAATAAATCGAAACGAATTTATGGTGTTTGTGTACACCCGAAATATGGAGGTTGGTTCGCAATTCGAGGTGTCATGATTTTTCCACATATTAAAAGTGAAATTCCTAAGTGTCCACCAGTGGACTGCGTTAATACAAGAGAGCTACAAATTCAATTGTTAAATCGATTTAATGGGAACTGGCAAGATTGGACTTACAGAGATGTTATTCCAGTAATTGATAAATACTCTGAATTACAGAAGAAATATTTTGCGACTTTACCGAAACATAGACATGAATTATTAAAGAAAATATCTGAACTGCAAACTTCATAATATTAATTTTCATATTTTGTCTACCAGTAATTTATTTTCTGCGACATTTCTCAACAAATAGTTACTGTTTACACATATTTTCATCTTAATTTATTGAATAATTTTTTAGCTTATGTTAGTATATTCTGTTTTGATATCGAACAATAACACTGATTGACGCAAAACAATGATGAATTTATATACTGGAACCAACTGTATAAGACAGCAACTTATGGCCAGTCACAACCAAAATATTAAGTTCGTATATTGCTTCAAACAGGTTTAGTATCAATGTCATTTACTTGCAGAAAAATTCTTACCTGGTTTATCAAGTGACTTTTCAATAAGCTCTTGCCATAATTCAACTTCGTTTTGTTCTTTACAAAATTCAACCGCTCTAGACACATCACTGTCATTGTCAATGATAAGAGATAATGCACGAGAAGCATTCCCCATTCGAGCTAAAACATTGAAAACAATCATGTTCATCATTTCTTTTTCAATTGATTTCCACAAATTAGCATTGAGAAATCTATAGAGATCAATGAAATGAAAGGTGCAAAAACTTACCAAGTAGAAACACTGTTTCGTCAACATAGTCTCTCTCTTCACATATATGTAAAGCTTCCTCGAGTGCATAGTAGTTGCTATAGAATAAAAACAAAGGTACAAATTCATATAGGGAAATGGCATAAAAAAGTTGATCATGTAGGAGGTAAATTTCATACATCCATGGAGAAACAATCCGTATCGTATGGTGGACTCTAATAATGTTACAAGCTGATGATGGGAATAGCTAGCAAATCAATCAATTTAGACCACGGATGGGCAAAGTTTTTGAACCAGGAGCAAAAAAATTTTTCCACCCAGACTGGCAGGCCATGTAAGTGTGACGTAAAAAGTCACATTTTATGAACAAAATTTATAGTGTTGCAAAAATGGAAAACAATAAGCTTTGTGCCAAAACTAAACTTGATCTAAATCTCAACAAATTTCTTGAGTTTTTTTAGGTAAAACATCAAAATTTGGTTTTAGTTTGGTTGTGGCACATCAGGTGGGCCAGATTAAATCAACCAACGGGCCGTATTTGGCCAGCGGGGCATAGCTCATGTCAGATTTAGACGCACAATAAGTTGACTGATTTCTTATAATTTGAGCCAAACTTTCATATTCTCCTGAATTTTTGTAGCAGATGACCCATTATGCAATGAATCAGAAAAATTAGTTTTGTACCTTGACTTCAGGAATGGTAGAAGTTTAGGTCGCTCAAACTCAGCATAAAGTGTCAATTGTACAGAATGATATTTGCTTCCAATATGAGGATCTCGAATAAACAAGGAGTGAAGATACTGGAATATATGAAATCTATTGTAATTTCCATTAACGTAGGGTATAATTTAATTTTAAACTTGATTAAATGGGTTTTCAAATATATAGGAATGGTGTTAATTTTTATTATTAGAGCGTCAGTCCATGGACAGTGAAATTTTGTTAAAAATAATTGAATTGTATAAACAAAATTTGAAAACCCGCGAATGAAATCTGCTTTTCAGTACATGGTATAAATACTGTATACTATATTCAATAAAATAAACGAATGAAAAATTTACCATATGGAGATACCCTTGATATCCCTTCAATTCCTTGACCACCTTTTCAATCTGCATAAGAATAATATGAAAAAAGAAGTTCACAATATAGGATATTCATTTTTAGCATTACTTAACAGTTTCAAGTTTACTTTGTTTCTTACTATATCAACAGTTCCCAACAAGGGGCCACCATACTAGGCGCAAAATTGATTTTAATGCAATTCAGTTAGCCACTTTTTCTTTTATAGAAAAAGTCCCTGTTCTCCCTAGCCTCATTATCTGGTTATTTCACAGGTTGTTTTTACTCTCTTGTGTATGAATTGTTTGATCATAATGTGATTTTGGACTCTACCAATTAAAATAGAACTATGAATACATCTGTGCTTAGTAAATTCTTTCAAAAACCAAAACCTTCATAGTTGTTTGGAGGTAATTTGACCAACAGATAACAGTCAAACCTCATCTACTAATAATGAAAATTTCATTGGACTGCAAGATAGCTGTCATAAATGTATTGTAGACACAGGAAAATATATTTAAATTTCTAATATTCCCAAAAAATGGGACGACAATTACGTTGCCTTATTGAAACTCGTATATCAGAGTTTTAGAACATGCGATACTTACAGGAACATGCTCCATATTATCAAGAAGGAGATCAACGGCTTTATTACCACCAAATTCCATCAGCAAAATAATATTTTTCTGCAAGTTAAATGAAACGCAAATAACTTATATACACAAATGATTTTCACCCAAAGAAAATTTACTCCATGGAATATTCCAATCATATTAGTGCGAGTTTGGTTAGTGAGTGATTTGTTTCAGACGTTAGAGGTAGGGTAATTGAATGTGCGACTGCAAGCGTATTTCTAATGCTTCACGCGATACATCAACTGCCGAACATTTCACAACTATTTTTGAACAGAAAGTCTACAGATGAAATATTTTGCTAAATTATTGTTTCGAAAAAAAAATCCATCAGCTACCAGACCAATTTTTTAGTACTTAAAGTTGGTAAAAATTGCTAGAAAGCTGATAACTTTTTTTTGAATTCCTGACAAATTTGCTATGGGCCCATTATTTTACCCAAAATGTTGCCATTTTAATTTATTGGAACAAACAACATTTGATTTTTTGAATCAATTTGACATTCATACCTATTCTATCTTTTGTTGCGGAAATTATTTATAATCCTACCTTCAGTGCTGCATATAGACTATGTTTTCGAATTAGTTGGAACGTGTCTGGATGTCGGAGCTTCAAATATATGGATAACGCTCGATCATATCTTTGGTCCAATGCATACCTGATAAAAAAAATTTCAGGTAATATGGAGATGAATAAGTTTTGTACATAAATATAAAAGTGAATTGTATATTATTGCCCCATTCCCATTAATTGAAACAGCATGTTAGTGGTTACTTTATAATCCTAACCAACCTCTTTTTCAAGCGACCTAAAATTAAAAAAGTCCTGCGACTCTATAATATGCCCAAACACTAATCAAATTACTAATATAAAACATAACATTAACAACATATTTTCCCAGAAATCGTTTCGAAGTTGGAAATCTGCGCTTTGCCATCAGTGAGTTTTTGAAATTGTGGCGATGTTCTAAGCAAAAAGGATGCTGTCAAGTGTTTATGCTGTCATATCTCCCACATATACAACTACTATTTAAGCAACACTTCATGAAGCAAACATTAAAATTTACTAATAAATAAAATCTGTAATTACTTATCGATTTTAATCGGTAAGTATGTTGATATGTATTTGTCTGTATGTCTGCCTGTCTGTTAGATGCACGCGATATCTCACGAAAGCGAGATTGAATCTGCTCCAGATTCTGCATGTGCATTCATCATATGTCGGACCAAAAGCCTATTGATTTTGGATGAATTATGTCTAATAATTAGCGAGTTATTAATTAATTAGTGATCTAGATTTTTGTAGAGCGAGAGAATTTTGAGATCCGCCGAGTGTGTGTGCGATGCGCAGTGCGCAAGTTACAAGAGCGGATGAATCGAAACCGCAGTTTCTGTTTTGGGGGATCCCCTAACTCTCGATCGATAAGTCTTCGGTTTCCAACCTATATTCTCCTTTTAAGTTATTATTGGAAAAATAATAGACCCAATAAAATTTTCAGGCGACCCAGTATTGGGACACAACCCATGTGTCGGAAAACACTGATACAACCTATATGTGAAATTGTTTTGAAGAAGGTCTCTACTTACAATCTTGCTAATGTAGCAAGTAATGTTGTATCTTTCGGATAATCATCGAGAGCAGACTGTACCATATTAGCGACGAAAGCAATGTTGTAAAGATCACCAGGCCAGTCTTTGATAAGTTGAGAAAACGCCTGGAAACAAGTTCATTAAATACTTTATAAAACAGTATCTGATACCTAAATAAGAAGGGCTGAAAGAAATGTTTAGTGTTTTTTTTTAATATAAAATAGTATTTTAAGCTGATCAGATGGCGTAACCATATAGCGCAGCAAGTTTTTGTTCGTGTGACGGTATGTTAGCATGGGAAGGGAACCCTACAACAACGAAAAGTCCAGCAATCCTCTCGTTCACAATTATCCCCCATGGGATTTGAACCTGCGAATTCGCACATAATCAAAGAAGCAATGGCAAATATCTTCATAATGCTTACCATAATGCGCCATTGTCATGATTTTGCCTTTTACTGTAATTAAACTCTGTTGTCTGCAGTAAAATCAAAAATAACCTGATGATCTTTTCTTAATATATCCTGAAGCACGAGTTCATAACATCGATATGGTAACCTGACATCTCCTCTTGGTAAATATGGTGAAAGTGTGTTGAGTTGGTGTGCTGTTGCAAATTTGTCAACCTGTTAAAATAAAAAATTTTCACAAACTGATAAAGAATTACAACAAGCATATTATTCTGAGAAACAGAAATCTTTGAATAATAATTGTAGACCAGAGATCATAGCATCCCTGGTCAGTCTAAAAATCTTCACATTCCCACCTCTTCACTAGGTGAGCTGAACCTGGAGAATAACTGCGATTCCAGTCTGTGAAGCTTGATTGAAGCAATGTCACTCAACAATTACCTAAATAAATGGACCAAACTTACAATCTTTTCCCATTGTTCAATATCATTTCCCAAGACTCTAACACAAGCTCTTGCTGCATCTTCATACTGTTTTTCGTCAAGAAGATGAGAGATGTATGTCATCCCAACCTCCTGTATAGCAAATAGTAAATTTATTCAACGCTTGAACTTTTGTTACTTATCGATCTTAAGATCGGTAAGTATATTGATAGGTATTTGTCTGTATGTCTGTCTGTCTGTGTGTGTGTCTGTTAGATGCACGCGATATCTCACGAAAGCGAGATTGAATCTGCTCCAGATTTTGCATGTGCATTCATCTTATCTCGGACCAGAAGCCTATTGATTTTGGGCGAATTATGTCGTATAATTAGCGAGTTATCAATCAATTATTGATATAGTGATCTAGATTTTTGTTAAGCGAGAGAATTTTGAAACCCGACGAGTGTGTGTGTGCGATGCGCAGTGCGCAAGTTACAAGAGCGGATGAATCGAAACTTCAGTTTCTGTTTTGGGGGATCCCCTAACTATCGACCGATAAGTCTTCGGTTTCCAACCGATATTCTCGTTTGTGTAGTTGTGTACTCTTTTTGATTTTACCCAAAAATTATGAGTTTTGCACACAAGTTATGAACGTGTTTTACTAGAAATTGTTTCAAATTACTTGGGCTCTGTTTTTGGGTCACTCTGTATAAGAACACTGTGAATTTTGAGTGATACAAAATAAACTTTAAATGATACGAACCAAAAAAGTAACATAGTTTTAAATGACATAGAAAATATACCTAAAGTTATTACACAATTGTACTCACGAGAAAGTTATGTGTTTTCAATTCTTTTCCAAATCTATCTACTGCATCCAATGCATCTTCGTACATTCCACATTCTAACAACCACGACACATGATCATCTTTGTCTCTTCTGCGTGCTAATACTATGTCTTTTGGTGAAACAATATACAGCATTCCTTCTCCTGTTTCATGGGCTAAAATATCAATTCCCCAAATTATATCATCCAGTGAAACGAAATTGTTTGGTAACGAAAATTTGTAAAAATTCCCAAATAAAAATTTTTTCATATTGCTTATGGAGGGGTGAACATTGAAAAACACGCAAATATGAATATTGATGTTTCTCATGCAAATGACCTCTACTCCACATTGAATAACCAAGCAAACAAGGGAACTGTAGGGCTTTGTTCGCGTTATTACATTTTCTGAGATGCAGTAAAACAATTCATAACGAATTTGTTGACAACACTAACTAATCATAAATGAATAAAGTATAATACTGCAAATTTTATAATGTTTCCAGTTACGATTACTTTGAAGAAAAAGAAAAATTTCATAAAATTTAAAATCAACTCACTAAGACTGTAATCATTGCATCTGTAAGTTTGATAACCTCTGATTGACAAAGCGTCAGATGACATTTCATCATACCCTCCTCCAGATGGATCAGGGTCTAATATACGGAGCTGAGGTCTCTCTGAAGGCTTATTAGTGGGTTTACCAGAGCTTCCAGATTCTGCAATAATCAATTTTTATTATTAAAATACTATAAGATGTAACAAAAACACACAAGGAAGAATTGTGCTATCTCTGAACACAAGTCAAGTCAAGTTTATTTTTTTCCAACCAGTAAAAAAATATAGCAAGTATAAGAAAATGATAATTTACACAGTTTACTGGATCTGGTTATCGAGCAGCGCACCCGAGGATCTAATATCTAAAAGTTAGAATTCTAGAGTTTTGAAACTACTGATATTGACAGTGACTCGGTGAGTACCTTATGAAATATCTAACTAACACCGCTTACCATAGATTATACAGTAGAGGTTAATGAGCCATAAGACAACAGGTGGATGGGGAATTCCCCATTTCAATGGAAGAGAAACTTCCCCTTCATCAAAATACTACTATATAATTTGTGGAATTCGAATATTCTTCTGAGTTCGATACACACAATTCTAGTTATGATAGAGAATAATTTTGATACAGAGTTCTTTATCCTAGTAGTTATACGGCACTAAAACCTACAAATCGCATTACTTACCCTCTAATTTCTCATCAGGCTGCAGTTCATATCCAAGAACAACAAGTTGAGTACCAAAAGGAGCAATACCAGAACAAGCAAAATCGATAGGTAGGTGGTACACTGTGAAATTATAGTACACATATAAATATTTCTGTGAATATGAATAAAGAAATAATTCCACATCCCATCTCAGACCAGTGACAACCAAGCAAATAGAAGATATTGTTAATGCGATATCACTCTAAACTTAGTATGGAACAGTTATTGAGATTCTGCTGTTTTGTAGTGTGTGTTTGCTCGCTCATATACAAATCATCAAAATGTAAAATAAGTGCATACAACTTACCAATTTCAACATATTTGTCTGGATCACGAGTCAAGTCACGACTTCGTCTTTCTCTAACAACACAGACCTAAAATGAATAAAATAGAAAAGACTTCAGATAAAAAAAAATTGAAAATATAAAGGTGCTTACAAAACTGTAGCAGTATCATTGATATATCACACATATATATACAAAATCTTGCAAATCAAATCCCTTCATAAAAATGGAAATATAATCTCAAAACTCAATCTTCATTTCTGAGATTTTCGTTGAACTCTTATAAATGAGATTGAATTGAACATAGTATTATTTTGACTTCATTTATTACAGGTCAATCAATATATGGACAGTACACGGAGAGAAAAATTTGATGGAACTCACTTTAATTTCATTTGCCCATCCAATGAGCAACGTGCTATCATTTTTCCACGCAATATGAGCTGGGTAGAGTTCAGGTCTCAAGTTTTGTTTGCCAGCACCTGATCGTGGAATGTGTGTGATTCGCCGTCGTTGCTTCATGTCGTACATTTTAACTCCCTATAAAATGTGGGAACATGATCTGTCTGAGTTTATTCCCATTATCATAAAACTACCTCAAACTGGGCCAACGTCACAGTAACGCTCCTTTTATTTTAGAAAACAAAATTTAAATACTCAGGTACGGTAGGTTGTTTGGTATCTTAACATAAATTTTGTCCCTTTAAGTTCTCCAAATCATTTGTTACTTGCTTAAACAATATAACATTATTAATCACAATGATATACCATTATCATAATAACTATATATCATTCATTGGAAGTATTGGTTCATTGCTAAGTCACAGATGCGATTTGAAAGATAAAATGTCCGATTAATAAAGTAAGACTGAGAACAATACCAAAAGTTAAAACAATTTGATTTGCAGAAAAATAGAACTTGTATTATTTAATTGTACATATATTAAATAAACCAAGTTTTAATACTACTTTCCAAATTACCCAGTCATTTGCCCATGCAATTAGATGACCTTTCCACTTGATGTTTCTAACTAATCCTTCACCAGTATGTAGTGTTGTAGTTTTAGATCTTCCAAGCCAGCCTTTTTCATATAAAATCAAACTGTCGATACCATAAACCAGCTGCTTAGAACTATTTTTTGAAAAGCTTGGATCGAGAGCAACAGACTGTAAAACAGCAAATCGCATTCATAATCGTAGAGAAAGAGCAGAAGAGATTTATTTTCTAATATCAGAATGCTATTTAAAGCAGCTGAGTATCTAAGTTGAAGCAATTCTAAAAACACTTTAAAAAAGAGGTTTATCTAAACGTTTTTGTATGGCATGGCAATTGTATTTAATGATTTTGAGATGTGGAATAAATAAATATCCATTCCGAATACCCAGCAAGCATTTATTTTTGTGTCAATCTAACTAAAGTATAACATAGTTGAAAGCACTTGATATACAAACAATTACACATGGGTAATTTTGAAACCAGTAATTATTGATTTTCCATCACAAACTACAACCTTACAAACAAATATTTGACCCAACTTTACTACTTAACTGAGCCCAAGCGATCTCAGACATGTTATAATCAAGGGAAAACATAAATATAAGTGAACCCTTATGTGCTTAGAAGTGTAAACTGAACCAAAATTAGATGTTTACACAGAAGCTTGAAACTTGGGGTTTATTATATCTCTTACTAAAGACCATTCAGACAACCATACCTTCACAGGCCTGTCAACATTTATAGAGATGTTTTCAGTGTCAGAATACAGCCCGACAACAACGACTTTTCCATCATCTGAGCAACTTGCTAAATATTCGCCGCCTTCATCAAGAGAAATCCCAGTGACTTGAGTATTGTGCTGTGTAATTTAATTAATTTAATTTTTCAGATTACACAAACCTAAAAAAGTCACTATTCTCAATATAGAAATTTGAAATGAACCACAATGAAGTGAAACAATCCATTAAATAAAAAGATTTAGCAATTATTGGCATTCCCAAGTCTTTTTTAAATCAATGTTTCGAAGCGAGGGTCTGTAGTTTGAATTAGACCGGGGGTTCTCAATCCTTTTTTTATGTAGTCCTCCCTATTTTTAAACTCTTCATCATCTAGTCACTATGTATACACATAAACTTGGTTTCAGTTTGTCATTCAAGTTTTATTGGATCAATAATGGATTGTGATAGCTGATAGGCATAACTTGCACTATCTTTTATACAATTCGAACAGTTTACAATATGTGCATACTATAATACTGAGTATGTGAAGAATATTAGTAATATTACAGTTTAAATGCAAATATAATTTGAAATTTCCTGGCCCAGAACCTACGCAGTTGGAAAATGCTGAATTAGACACATGGAAAGCAAAATCATTGAATGAAATTCGGAATTAATTACTGATAAGCAAGTTCAATTACCATAACTATAAGCAGCAACATTAACTGGGTGCAGCCTTCTCATGTATACGAAGAATATGATACTGAAAACTGATTGGTGTATCAAGTATAAAACAACCAAATGCCATTTTTTTTGCGCAAAATTAGAACTCAATAAGCTTACCGATTCAAATTGTTTGCTTGTGACTTTATTGCCATTATGATCCAATATATATATTTTCCCCCAGTGTGTTCCAAGTGCAACAAACTGAATAGAACAAAAACAATAAATAAAAGAATTTTGCCAACGAAAAAATTAGGATAAAAATGCTCACAATGTTATCTTACCTTGGATTGCATAACAACACATGATGCTGCATCTTCTGATAAAATTTTCAGAAGATCATTGCGAACTCTTTCATATTTCAATTGAGGTTCTTCTTCCTGATAAAAATTATCGGTTAGTTCAGTATAGTTTGAGTATAATTCTCATCATCTCATGTGTTTATGAGTCATTAAAATCAGTCTAGATAGTTTAATACAAAAATGAAAACAAAAGTTTAAAGGCACAAAACAATGAAATTCAAGATTTGCTAGTGAACGCAGGGACAGAATCCCTTCAATGCTCATGTTCTCATCCTTTATCAGCTTCTTTCTATACAATATTTCTCGATTGTAATGACTCTTTTTCAAATATAACAAAGCCATGAATACATATAGTTTATTGTAAAAAGCAACATAAGACATATCTGACATATAGTAATTTCTCAATTTAGAAGCTACTGTAAGTGCAGAAGTGATAATAAAATGACCCACCTCCGACTCCGAATCAATATCACTGTCAGATGACATCTTTTAGTTCACACAAATGAGTGACTTAAATACTGTAAATACAGAAATAGGTTAGGTGAAACTAGTTATTTATAACAAGAATCACAGAATTAATTGAATCTTGGATTCATTTCTTGTCATTGTGGTAAACTGCTTGTCCGAGCAAGTGCAGTTACTTTGGTGAGGGCCGGAAGCTGCCGCAAAACCATGGCGGGATAGGATTTACATATTTATCTCGGGGGAGAGGAAAGCCGATAAGACGGCTTATCCATATGGCGAACTACGGCCTCGCTATAGAATGTAGGCTTTCTCGCTGTCGCGAATCATAAAGTGGCCTATTTTGTGAAATATACCATACTAACAGTATGAAAAGGTTAAATACATGTGATCCATAGTTACACAATGCACATTCGCTACACCAGTGTTTTTCAACCTTTTTCGAGCCAAGGCACACTTTTTTCAGTGAGAAAATCCCGCGGCACCCCACCAGCTGAAAATATGGGGAAAAGACCTAATATTCACAATATAAGTGTTTTATTGTTAATATAAGATTTTTAACATTGAAGAAAGATGTTGAATAGGACATCCTGAATAGTAATTAAATAAAAACAAAGACAAAAAGAAAATCGCCACCTGATGCTGCCACGGTCTGATATAGAACAGTACTACATGATTACTCTGCCGGGCGCCACACCGCATAGACACACAACTTGGGAAATTTCCCACGGCACCCCTGACAATATTTAACGGCACACCGGTGTGCCGCGGCACCCCGGTTGAAAAACACTGCGCTACACTATTTAGGATTAGGCTACAAGTCGAGATCCAATTGTTGCTCGACAATATAGATTCCACAAATAATGGTAAAATGGATGGTAAATTGCCAATCCTGACTGTGCATAATGCGCTGCCCCTAATACGACTACCGGTATGCATTGTGCCCAATGCGCTGCTCCTAATGCGAACTCACTGTGCCCAATGCGCTGCTCCTAATGCGACTACGCATTGTGCCCAACGAGCTGCTCCTTACAGCCTTATGCGGCCTCACTGTGCCCAATGCGCTACACATAATGTGATGCTCTCAAAGACTGAAAAAGCAAATTAATCACTGTTGCTACTATCTAAAAGTCGAGTCTGGCTTGTCATTATAGATTCCATAAATAATGGTAAAATGGATGGATGAATTGTCAATCCTGACTGTGCCCAATGCGCTGCTCCTAATGCGATCTCGCATTGTGCGCAATGCGCTGCTCCTAATGAGGCTTCATTGTGCCCAATGCGCTGCTCCTAATGCGATCTCGCATTGTGCGCAATGCGCTGCTCCTAATGCGGCCTCACTGTGCCCAATGCGCTGCTCCTAATGCGCCTCACTGTGCGTGATGCGCTGCGCGCAATGAGACTTTTAGGCTCCCAACACCTCTCACAGGCATCGTGCCAATCTGGAAAGCACGGCCGTTAGGATGGGATAAGATTTACATATTTATATTTAAAGGTTTTGCTCGTTCTCCAGAATTCTCCATTTTCAATTTTTTTGTGTTATCATATTGTGGAGTTGTCGAAACAAACTATTGGATCTCCGCTCTAGAAGACCCTTATTATCGGTCGTTCTGGCCTTCTGTCTGTGTATCTGTCTGTCTGTTTGGGCGTAGCGTTTAAACGGCTGGACGAATTAAGATGAAATTTTTCACGCGGGCTATCCTGTCACCCTAGTATTGTGCGTTTTATAGGAAGTCCGGTTGGAGGTTTCGTTTCCATGGAAACAGCGAAAAACGCGCCGATCGTTATGAAATTTTAATTTTTTTCACAATTTCTCGCCAACCAAGTCAAAAATTAAAATTCTAAGAATGCTACCCTCCGCATAGCAAAACACTCTTTCCAAAGAGTTATCTTTGGCCTCGATACTCCATAAACTGAAGGAGCCTTAGGGATTTTAGTGAAGATTATTTTTTAATTTTCAGCCACAATATACCAGTCACGCGAGTAAGGGCCCGTTCACATATGTTCACACTATTGCGTTGATGCACCTTAAAACCTTGTTCATTTAACTTAATCGTGCGTTGCTGCGTTAACGCATTGTGTTACATCGAGAATCGCATTCACTTGGTTTTTGTATTGACTTAAACATTGCGTCCGTTTAACTTGTGTAGTAACTTATTTGTTATTGTTGACGCCGTAATTTCCCTTGATTGACAGTGTGCTTCCACATACTTTGTTACGAAACAATTGAAAGAGTCTTCGTGGCAATTGCTTGCCCAGACCAAAGCCCATATATACCTGGCCAGACATGTCTCGCTTAGACATGGATAGTTTCGGTAATTTGCTTTAGATAGCGCTTTACTTTTGCAGAGAATGGCGCTCGTTTCGTTGTAATTTGTAAATAAGTTATAAACTTGTTCAGCGACCTTGGCTTTCTGTTTGACTGTAGGACAATTAAATAATGTAGATTATGGCTGCCCACATAGGCCTAGTTTAGGGATATTTTATGAGCATTAAATGGCCTTTTGTGATTGTTTTTACAGTTATAGTTTATTTAATTGATTTGTTCGGATTTCATTGACGAATGATTTCATGTTCAACTTATGATAATTTAAGCCTGGAATAGCAGACAAATTCGGTATGTTATAATTTGTAACTCTTTCTGATTTGAAGGCTGCAAGTTATTCAATAGTAATATGGTTCGACTTAATAATTACCTATTTTTGATAATTGTGTTAATAAATTTGAGTAGGCTTTCTAAAGGCCGAATTGTGTATGATTATTTATTTATTGCAAGTATTTTGTATTGATTTGTTTTTACGTTTGTATTAAGATAACCGTGTCAACTGTATACTTCGAGTTGTGTGTTTTTCTGGATTGAGGATACAAACTTGGGGCTTGAAAGACCGCGTTATTGAACTGTTAATAAATATCTAGTGTGCAGTCGGTGTCGTCCAGGTCACAGAGAACTCATCACTAGACCAACAAGAGTTACTTCATCCTCCCACACCTTAATAGATCACATTTATACCAACACCTTAAAATCATGCTCATCATCATTTATTATAATTAGTGATCTCACCGATCATTTTCCTATTATGTGTACTCTATCAACAACTAGTGCTCAAGTCCAAACAAAAACACGCATGAAGCGTGACATGGCAAATTTTTCTGCCGACACATTCAGATTGGAAGTTGAGATGATGTGTAGAAATTATGCCAGTGGTATATTATCCAAAGAAAATTTTAATAGTTCATTTGACCTCTTTCTTAGCCATTTTAAGTGGTTGATAAATAAGCACGCACCATTACGCCCTCTGTCACGCAGAGAAAATAAATTGTATTCCAAGCCCTGGATAACCAGTGGAATTCGCAAGTCCATCAAACACAAAAACGCCATGTTCAGAATAATGTTTCTGAACGGAAACGCATCGCAGCGTCATTACTTCAAAAAATATAAGAATATTTTAACACACTTGCTAAGAAAATCGAAACAGCAGTACTACCACAATATTCTAGTCAACAACAGAGGAGACGTCAAACGCACATGGCAAACCATCAATGAGATTATAAAAATTAAGACAAGAGAGGTCCCCACCGTCTCAGAATTAAAATTGGAAAATGGTACTACTGTGACAGACCCCGTCTATGTGGCCACTGAATTCAACAAATTCTTCTCTTCTATAGGGAAAAAACTCGCAGATGAAATCCCACATAGTACCAAATCAAATGCTGAATTCCTGGGTGTCCCTTTACAGAACTCTTTTTTTCTTGAGTCAACATCACCTTTAGAAGTTCTCTGTGTAATCAGGGACCTGAAAAAGGGTAAAGCGGTTGGACCGGATGGTATTTCCTCTTATTTTTTGAAATTAGTTGCTGATATCATATCACCAGCTTTGAGTAATTTCTTCAATTCGTCATTCAATTTAGGTATATTTCCTTCTTCATTAAAACTTGCTAGAGTTATACCAATTTTTAAATGCGGGAAAAAAAACAACCCTTCAAATTATAGACCAATCTCTATTTTATCTTCAATTAGCATCATAATGGAAAAGTTGTTGTATACCAGAATGATGAGCTATTGTACTAAATTCAGTTTGATAAACAAATGTCAATTTGGATTCCAGACCAAACACTCCACCAGTCATGCTATCCTTGATCTGACATCATTTATATATGATAAAATAGACAAAGGCGAGTATGTTTGTTGTGCCTTCCTAGATCTAAAAAAGGCTTTTGATACCGTAGACCACTCCATTCTCATTCACAAGTTAAGACATTACGGTTTTAGGGGTAATGCAGGAAAACTGTTATCCGATTACCTGACAGGCCGGTATCAATTTGTTGAAATAGGTCCCCATAGATCCCCAATGTTACCCATCCACTGCGGAATTGTTCAGGGCTCAGTAGTTGGCCCATTAGCGTTCTTATGTTTCATAAACGACCTTTCCAACAGCTCGAATCTTTTGAGTAAACTATTTGCAGATGATGCATGCTTGCTCACCAGCGCGAAGGATCCGACTACACTTCAGCTAAATATGAACACTGAAATAAATAAAATTTATGAATGGATGTTATGTAACAAGCTAACAGTGAATATAGATAAGTCAAAAGTCATGGTGTTCAGTTCAAAATCTCACACTAGATACCCCAACCTCGCAATTGGAATCAATGGCAGAAATTTAGAAGTAGTCCAGTCTTATAAATATCTAGGACTCAATATCGACCACCAATTAAAGTGGAACACCCACACTGCTGATTTGCATAGAAAACTATCAAGAACGGTAGGGATCCTGGGTAAGCTTAGATATTACTTACAGGATACCACACTAAGAACCATTTACTTCGCACTTTTTCAGGCCCACATTCAGTATGCCATAGCGGCATGGGGTTCTACAGCTAAAGTAAACATGCGTAAATTGGAAGTCTTACAAAATAGGGCCATTAGAATCCTTTCTTGGGCACCTTTACGTTCCAATTTAAACAATCTATATTATAAGCATAGAGTACTAAAATTACATGACATCTACAAACTAGAAATTTCTAAGATTATGCACCAATTCCAAAACAATCAATTGCCAGCGGCTTTCGACCAGTATTTTCTCACCCTAACTTCAGTGCATAAATATAACACCCGCTCCTCAACAAAGAGTAATTTTTTTGTGCCTCGCTTCTCACTAAGCAAATCCCAAAATTCTTTGAAATATCAAGGTGTTTCAATTTGGAACAGTCTACCCCAAGACCTACGTGAGTCATCTTACATGACTTTCAAATTTAATTATAAAAAATTCCTGATTTCCTCTTACCAACCCACCTGAATTTTCCAAGTCGCTGTTTCATATTTTATCCTTGCTTTGTGTCCATCAAGGTCATATTCAACTCGATCCACAGCCTGCCTGTAATGAAGAGACCTGTTTATTTGCTGTTAAATGCTTGTTGTATTTTATATATTGCAATGTTACTGTGGAATCATCATAATTCATCCCTATTCTTGTTATACTCTATATTTATTGATGTGTGCAATCTTATAGAATTTTTGAACTGCTTTATTTATTGCCAGTTTTCTTACCTCCAATCTAACTCAGATTTCCGTGGTCATACAGTCACACACAAGTGCCTATCTTTGAGTTAACGCCTGATAAACAACTATCTCTTAATACTACAAGCGTTAACTCGTATTATTGTTATTTATTAAGATATTATTATCAATTATTGGTATTTATTAAGTGCAGCTTTATTTAACTAATATAGCATGATACCTTACCGGTACTATAGTGATTCTCATCATCCTATTTGTATATTTCTAGTGCATTTTGTTGCCTCATGCGCTTTTGTACTGGATCTATCCTATGACTAATAGCTTAGCATTTACCAGAAAAATGCTTACCTTTTACTGCTTTTTTGCCCATTTTTGTCACATTTTCATGTTTACATCTGCCTCCACCTTCGGTAGAGACCTACGATTTTATATTTAAAAATCACTCAAATTCTGAGTGTTACTGAATTCACTTATACTTTCCGGCGGTCTCTACCCTCCTATGCCGTACTTCGGTACGGCGTCAAAATATAACACTATTTCCGCATCGATTGGAATAATTAACTCGACTTTATCTTTCTGTTTGTTATTCAATAACCAACTGCTGTTACCATAACTACCTCGACCAGTGGTGTCGGGAGTCACATTCTCATATTAAATAGAGTGACACCGTGATATCGGTCACTAAAATGTGTAAAAAGGCCGTCTTTGACTTTATTATTTTATTTATTATTCACGACTTTTGCTAGTATCCTGTTTGACTTTTTTCTCACTATGATTTAATTTTTAGACTCACTCCCCCAGGGTGACGCTGCTCGATAACCTCTTCTGGTTTATCGCGCCTCCCTTCACACTGAAAGTATTGTTTTATATGTGATTCGTAGTTATTTTTGTCTATTGTGTACTTTTGGTATGTGATAAAATAAACTACTGACTGACTACTGACTGACTGGCTGTTACACATTGCGTCAACGCAGTGCGTTGTTGGAGGACAATTCTTTTTGCGTTGACGCTGCGTTGCCCGCCGTTTTTGAATTCTGATTTGGTGCTTTCGCCATTTTCGTCGTATGACTTCGGTATGTCCGGGAGTGATGATGGTTTGACAGTACCGGTACCGTACGGTATTCATTGCACAGTTGGATGTATACAAGTTTATCCATACAACCAGAGTGGCGATACCGTTCGGTACCGTACGTGGTTCGTAAACTTACTTTGTACAGTGGACTAGATTATGCGTATAAACCGGTACGGTAGAGTCTGACAGTGGGCAGGTCCCAGGTTTAAGGTACCGGTACCGGTACAGTACAGGCTACTGCTGTACTGTATGCTGTGTATTCACATGTGATATTTATTTTTCAGATTTGTCTTTAGAATATCCTTCATTAATTCAATCTTGTTTAAACCATGAGTCTATCAAATCAGCAAAAACTTGGAATCATGCTATGGGCAAAGCGCCGCCGTGAAAGCGAAAGCAATACCTGTACCGGTACACGATTGAAAATTTCATCCGAAGTTACAAACCATCCGAAGTTACCTGCGTTTACGGTACTGGTACCGGTACACGAAATTCAAGGCGATGGTGGGTGCACCCTATCTTGAGAAAACGAGAGGAAGCCGGTGAGTCTTAGAACAAGCTTGTCAAAATTGTAACAGCTTGTAAGTAAGGTGACATATTTTCTATTTAAATTCATGCTGCCCTACAGCCCTAAGAGGCACAGGAGCAATGTTCTAAATAGACATTTGGTACTGTGGTAAGTGATTTAAATTTTCTATGTTTGTCTGCCTGTTAGTTTGTCATACTGTCAGCTGTTCTTATTAACAAATTTAAAGTATAACTAATTGTGAAATAAAGCAGGTAATAAAAGGATTTTCTCCATTTCTTTGAGTTAAGTTAATATTCGACAAATTCTGCTTGGCTAAATTGGTAATTTTTTCTGAACTAAAACAGGTGAATTTCATGCACTGGTACAGGAATTACGGTTGCAGCGACCTGCATATTTCAAGGAATATTTTAGAATGTCGACAAAGGAGTTTGACAAGTTACCGGTACTTGGAATTGTTGGTCCAAAAATAGAAAAATTAACGACGACGTACAGAAGGCCAATTTCCGCTGCAGAGCGGTTGGCTGTAACATTGAGGCAAGTTAATGATTTTATTAAAATTCGTCTATTTTTATTCTATGTTGTGCAATTTGATTTTGTGACTTTTTTCATTAATATGATAAATTTTGTCACTTTTAGATTCTTGGCAACTGGAGACTCTTATCGGACTATTGCCAATAGTTATCGTTTAGGGATTTCCACTGTTTCCTTCATTGTACCAGATACATGCAGGTATGATTTTCAAATAATTATTTTCTTTTGTATTTTTGATAAATCCCAAACTTGATATCATGGCATTTCGTTTCTTTTGATTATCAAAATGTTCTTTTTTGTTTTTATTGATTTTGTCATAATTTTATATGTATTGACTTTTATAGAGGCATTTGGGACACACTCCAACCAATGGTTTTGCAATGCCCATCCACCCAAGCTGCATGGACAACAATTGGGAATGAGTTTGAAGCGAGGTGGCAATTCCCGAATTGTTTAGGTGCCATTGATGGCAAACATGTCATCATTCAAGCCCCAAACAATTCGGGATCCATGTTTTTTAATTATAAGAAGACGCACAGCATTGTGTTGATGGCTGTGGTGGATGCAAAGTGAGAATAAGCAAATTATGACTTGTTATTGATTTTTTTTTTGAATCATTGACAAATGCTCATAATGTTTATCTTTTCACAGTTATAAATTTGTGGCAGTCGACGTTGGAGGGTATGGGAGGAGCAGTGATGGGGGTATATTTGCCGACTCCTGTTTTGGCAGAAGATTGGCCAATGGTACCCTCAATCTTCCTAATCCTAGGTAGGCTGGCACTTGGCAGTCGAATATTTACAAAATAAATGTTATTTCCAACACTTTGCTCATTACCGACCACTTTTGTAAGCTTTTGTGAACAGTACTGTGTTTGATGTTCTAATTGCCTATTTTCAACATTAGCCAAAATTTACTTCATGTTAGATTTTGTTTAATATCACAGTAGTATGTATGTCATATGTTACCACCTTGTATAACGTGTGTGAGTCTTTTGTGTTTGTTATATGTGCAGGAACCTTTTTGTCAAGTAGTTAAGATATATGTTTGCATTGAGCGATTCTTAGAAATTCAGGTAAGTTTGGCATGTTTTGCTTCTAACCGTTTGTTTTACACATTGGGTATGACTAAGTATAATACATTGAAATAAGTCCGATCTACAATCCATAGTAACATTACAAAATTAATATGTGAAATCATCTCATGACATTCTTTGTTTTGCCAGGCCATTGGGAAGGACGAGTCATGGAGACTGCACCCCATTTGTATTTGTAGCTGATGAGGCATTCCCTTTAAAGGAAAATATTATGAGACCATATGGTGGGAACAACCTGAACTCAAAACAGAAAATATACAACTACAGGTTGTCAAGGGCTCGCCGAATGGTAGAGAGTGTTTTTGGAATACTTTCCAACCAATGGAGATTATTCCATAGGGTAATGCCTCTTCAGCCTACAAATGCTGATGGGGTTGGTGAAGGCTACCTGTTGCCTCCATAACTTTTTGAGGAAAATAGAAAATCAGCCAGAAGGAGTGCAGGAAGCTTCCTCAGAAGCTGACAACAATACATTACTGAGAAGTTGTCACAGATTGGGGGTCGTGCAACATCCCGGGCGATTGCTACAAGGGAATCGTACACTGATTTCCTTAGTGGCCAAGGAGCTATTGGATGGCAAAATGACCAAGTTTGAAGGTGATCAGATCAATATTACGCAATAAACATCACTAATATATCGAGGTTGAAGTTGCATATCTTGTTGCGTCATTGTGTGCCCCCCCCCCCCCCCCCCCCCCCCATCTAGCATTCAAATATATTCGTAACACATAAAAGTACTACAAACCAGTATATATTTGAGCATGTATCTAATCTGTATTAAATTCTAGATGAAACAAAACTTCTTGAAGTTCAATCCTTGCATGCTGAAATTTTTTATTTGGCAACCGTCTAAATGTCTGCACAAGCGATTGGGCAAATATTTCAGCATCATCTTGTTCTGGAAAAAACAAAAAAAACATTTAGAGGAGTAGCTACTGTTTCTTCATTCTGTGTATCTTTCCTGCAATTATACTGTTCATTTCAAATAATTCTAATTATCGATATCTTTACTTTTTTGTATATCAGAGTTTTGTAGTAGCAATAAATATGAATACTACTGACCTTTATTAACTAGGCGTAAAATGGCCTGATCGATATCCAAGCTGGAAGAAGACTCTTCCCCGTCTTTTCATATACAACGAGGGTGACATCTTCAGGCACACTGCTAGATGTTCTAAAATTAAGCAGGGGCCATATGTTACCTCATACTCATTACTTAGTAAGGCATCTTTGTTTTTCACAGGTCAATGATGATTACAGGATGGGAAAGGCAAGTTTTTAGTTTATTGTTATACATTGTTTCAAATAAAAGAGTTTTGTTTTCTATGAAAGTGTCATTTCATTTTATTGACATATCAGTATACTTAGTGGAGTGTATGACCTGAAATATTTTATGAAGTTTTATTCAGTCTTTGTAAAAATCAAAATAGGGCTTTTGTGGTAATGACATACGGTATGGGTAGAGTAAAAATGTTTTCCCCACCTCCTGCTTTTGCAGTACGAGTTTAAAAACTCTAAGCTACCCATAAACTCCCATTTTTTTACATCCACCCCCACTCCTACTCTCAAACGCCTTCTCTCTCCTGAACCTATCTTTCAACGACCTCCACCTTGTCTTGCATTCTTTCACTGTTAAAACAAGAATACCGGTACTGTTATTTTCGGTTGCATTTGACTTAAAATGACTGTCCTCTCCGGTCCCCGAAGTGCGAGATAAACTTACCCCCTATTCCCATTTCCTCGCCAACCTCTATCCACGCTTTTTCCTTCAAAATTTTGTTCCGGTAATCAACCGCCCACAAACAATCCTTCTCCCTAACCAACTCTATTAACTTCGCAACTTCCATTTTTCGGGTTTGGGTTGGCCTAATTAATAATTGGTTGGGTTTTCGATAGTTAAATTTATTTCGCAGAGGACACGAAATTTCCCGCCATTGTTACGTGATAAGTGAACCGTAGCACGCTGCGTTAACGCATTCGAAGTATGAACACCCTCAACGCAATTGCGTTGGATTCCGTTCCCAACGCAACACAAACCTATGCGTCAGTGTGAACCATTGAGGTGTGGTGTGAACGGGCCCTAAGACTACGAAACGCGCAGCGTTTGAAATGAACTTAGCGGAACGCGCAGCGTTCAAAATGAACTGGCGTTTTTAGTAGCGTCTCCTATTATCCGTTAGTAAACTGAAATGATGCGGGCCTCAAGCAATGGCGGAGATCCAACTGGACTATCTATCTACCGGTAAGTCGGCTGATACAGAATATGGAATAGATGTTTTGTAACAATTACGTCGGATATAATATTGAACTTGTACAGAGTCTTTTTCGTTTGAAAACATAGAGTAGGAACAAAGAATTATATCGCCAAAGGTTACACTGCATCTTGGGTTAAAGTTGAAGGGTTCAAAGTCCGTTTCCACCTTTGATGTCGAAAGAGAGCAATATTGTTTTGACTTAGGCTGTCTTTTTATGAGTGGTTTCATCCGATGCGATAGATTCTAGGATTTGAAACGGATGTGAATATTTGGCAATTTAAAAATTATTATTTCGCATGTTATCCTTGTATCAGATCGTACCGGTACGGTAGCCTATATTAAAAGTAGACTAGGTATGGTACCATGTTGCCAAACCTTGCGCACATGTCTGTATGAAGGACCATATTAATAAACTTATTTGATTTATTGCATTTTATGCTTATCATAAGGGGTGTATGCCGCACTTTCATGTGTCTTAGGCTAGTATGGTCTTGTGTATACATCCCGTCTTCAATGTTGATAATCACTAACTGTTTTTTATTTTGCTTTTACGAGACGAATGAACATACATACATACATTTGCGTATTTTTTGTTCATTTCTTACCCAAGCCTCGTTTGCCTAGGTTTGTGTTTTGGCTTAATTCTTTGTGTGTGTGTTTGCAAAACAGAAAATTGTGCAGGACAAGCTAAACTCTATTTTAATCTATACATCAGTTGTGAGCAAAAACAAAATGTGTGAACTAATATTGTTTTGAAAATCAAAGAAATCAATCAAAGTTCAATTTTATCAATTCAATTAAGCAGTATCATTACTATTTATCTGAATTAAATTGGACCACCATTCACATTTAGCTATATATACAGATATATATTCCCTCCCAAGTCTATTAGAATTATATAATGAATTACGATAGTTATCTGTCATATATTTTTAACTTATAATTTTGTGGATTTATTTAAACCTATGTGTACCGGTATATCATTTTGTGTGTAAACAAGTCAGACTTTGTATCAACTTATATCTAACTGAAATTCTGACAGGAATACCCCCACAAGAATGCATCTTAACCAAGCATGAGAGCTGGAGTCTGAGCCAAGCTTTCAAAGTTAGATAGACAGATAGAGCTGGAGATACCAGAAATATCAGTGGCTCATCTCCTAATCTAATTATCTGTCAACATTTATAATTTTTTCAAAACTTCATACAAATAATAAAAACTACCCTTTTCAGCTTGTAAATTTTTATAGATTTTAATTATAATTTTAATTAAAAAGTTTCCGAGTTCAATATATATATTTGAAAGTTTTAATTTTGAAAAGTTAAACCCTTGTATCATAGTCGTTATGAAATTTTAATTTTTTTCACAATTTCTCGCCAACCAAGTCAAAAATTAAAATTCTAAGAATGCTACCCTCCGCATAGCAAAACACTCTTTCCAAAGAGTTATCTTTGGCCTCGATACTCCATAAACTGAAGGAGCCTTAGGGATTTTAGTAAAGATTATTTTTTAATTTTCAGCCACAATATACCAGTCACGCGAGTAAGGGCCCGTTCACATATGTTCACACTATTGCGTTGATGCACCTTAAAACCTTGTTCATTTAACTTAATCGTGCGTTGCTGCGTTAACGCATTGTGTTACATCGAGAATCGCATTCACTTGGTTTTTGTATTGACTTAAACATTGCGTCCGTTTAACTTGTGTAGTAACTTATTTGTTATTGTTGACGCCGTAATTTCCCTTGATTGACAGTGTGCTTCCACATACTTTGTTACGAAACAATTGAAAGAGTCTTCGTGGCAATTGCTTGCCCAGACCAAAGCCCATATATACCTGGCCAGCCATGTCTCGCTTAGACATGGCCAGCCATGTCTCGCTTAGACATGGATAGTTTCGGTAATTTGCTTTAGATAGCGCTTTACTTTTGCAGAGAATGGCGCTCGTTTCGTTGTAATTTGTAAATAAGTTATAAACTTGTTCAGCGACCTTGGCTTTCTGTTTGACTGTAGGACAATTAAATAATGTAGATTATGGCTGCTCACATAGGCCTAGTTTAGGGATATTTTATGAGCATTAAATGGCCTTTTGTGATTGTTTTTACAGTTATAGTTTATTTAATTGATTTGTTCGGATTTCATTGACGAATGATTTCATGTTCAACTTATGATAATTTAAGCCTGGAATAGCAGACAAATTCGGTATGTTATAATTTGTAACTCTTTCTGATTTGAAGGCTGCAAGTTATTCAATAGTAATATGGTTCGACTTAATAATTACCTATTTTTGATAATTGTGTTAATAAATTTGAGTAGGCTTTCTAAAGGCCGAATTGTGTATGATTATTTATTTATTGCAAGTATTTTGTATTGATTTGTTTTTACGTTTGTATTAAGATAACCGTGTCAACTGTATACTTCGAGTTGTGTGTTTTTCTGGATTGAGGATACAAACTTGGGGCTTGAAAGACCGCGTTATTGAACTGTTAATAAATATCTAGTGTGCAGTCGGTGTCGTCCAGGTCACAGAGAACGGCTGTTACACATTGCGTCAACGCAGTGCGTTGTTGGAGGACAATTCTTTTTGCGTTGACGCTGCGTTGCCCGCCGTTTTTGAATTCTGATTTGGTGCTTTCGCCATTTTCGTCGTATGACTTCGGTATGTCCGGGAGTGATGATGGTTTGACAGTACCGGTACCGTACGGTATTCATTGCACAGTTGGATGTATACAAGTTTATCCATACAACCAGAGTGGCGATACCGTTCGGTACCGTACGTGGTTCGTAAACTTACTTTGTACAGTGGACTAGATTATGCGTATAAACCGGTACGGTAGAGTCTGACAGTGGGCAGGTCCCAGGTTTAAGGTACCGGTACAGTACAGGCTACTGCTGTACTGTATGCTGTGTATTCACATGTGATATTTATTTTTCAGATTTGTCTTTAGAATATCCTTCATTAATTCAATCTTGTTTAAACCATGAGTCTATCAAATCAGCAAAAACTTGGAATCATGCTATGGGCAAAGCGCCGCCGTGAAAGAGAAAGCAATACCTGTACCGGTACACGATTGAAAATTTCATCCGAAGTTACAAACCATCCGAAGTTACCTGCGTTTACGGTACTGGTACCGGTACACGAAATTCAAGGCGATGGTGGGTGCACCCTATCTTGAGAAAACGAGAGGAAGCCGGTGAGTCTTAGAACAAGCTTGTCAAAATTGTAACAGCTTGTAAGTAAGGTGACATATTTTCTATTTAAATTCATGCTGCCCTACAGCCCTAAGAGGCACAGGAGCAATGTTCTAAATAGACATTTGGTACTGTGGTAAGTGATTTAAATTTTCTATGTTTGTCTGCCTGTTAGTTTGTCATACTGTCAGCTGTTCTTATTAACAAATTTAAAGTATAACTAATTGTGAAATAAAGCAGGTAATAAAAGGATTTTCTCCATTTCTTTGAGTTAAGTTAATATTCGACAAATTCTGCTTGGCTAAATTGGTAATTTTTTCTGAACTAAAACAGGTGAATTTCATGCACTGGTACAGGAATTACGGTTGCAGCGACCTGCATATTTCAAGGAATATTTTAGAATGTCGACAAAGGAGTTTGACAAGTTACCGGTACTTGGAATTGTTGGTCCAAAAATAGAAAAATTAACGACGACGTACAGAAGGCCAATTTCCGCTGCAGAGCGGTTGGCTGTAACATTGAGGCAAGTTAATGATTTTATTAAAATTCGTCTATTTTTATTCTATGTTGTGCAATTTGATTTTGTGACTTTTTTCATTAATATGATAAATTTTGTCACTTTTAGATTCTTGGCAACTGGAGACTCTTATCGGACTATTGCCAATAGTTATCGTTTAGGGATTTCCACTGTTTCCTTCATTGTACCAGATACATGCAGGTATGATTTTCAAATAATTATTTTCTTTTGTATTTTTGATAAATCCCAAACTTGATATCATGGCATTTCGTTTCTTTTGATTATCAAAATGTTCTTTTTTGTTTTTATTGATTTTGTCATAATTTTATATGTATTGACTTTTATAGAGGCATTTGGGACACACTCCAACCAATGGTTTTGCAATGCCCATCCACCCAAGCTGCATGGACAACAATTGGGAATGAGTTTGAAGCGAGGTGGCAATTCCCGAATTGTTTAGGTGCCATTGATGGCAAACATGTCATCATTCAAGCCCCAAACAATTCGGGATCCATGTTTTTTAATTATAAGAAGACGCACAGCATTGTGTTGATGGCTGTGGTGGATGCAAAGTGAGAATTAGCAAATTATGACTTGTTATTGATTTTTTTTTGAATCATTGACAAATGCTCATAATGTTTATCTTTTCACAGTTATAAATTTGTGGCAGTCGACGTTGGAGGGTATGGGAGGAGCAGTGATGGGGGTATATTTGCCGACTCCTGTTTTGGCAGAAGATTGGCCAATGGTACCCTCAATCTTCCTAATCCTAGGTAGGCTGGCACTTGGCAGTCGAATATTTACAAAATAAATGTTATTTCCAACACTTTGCTCATTACCGACCACTTTTGTAAGCTTTTGTGAACAGTACTGTGTTTGATGTTCTAATTGCCTATTTTCAACATTAGCCAAAATTTACTTCATGTTAGATTTTGTTTAATATCACAGTAGTATGTATGTCATATGTTACCACCTTGTATAACGTGTGTGAGTCTTTTGTGTTTGTTATATGTGCAGGAACCTTTTTGTCAAGTAGTTAAGATATATGTTTGCATTGAGCGATTCTTAGAAATTCAGGTAAGTTTGGCATGTTTTGCTTCTAACCGTTTGTTTTATACATTGGGTATGACTAAGTATAATACATTGAAATAAGTCCGATCTACAATCCATAGTAACATTACAAAATTAATATGTGAAATCATCTCATGACATTCTTTGTTTTGCCAGGCCATTGGGAAGGACGAGTCATGGAGACTGCACCCCATTTGTATTTGTAGCTGATGAGGCATTCCCTTTAAAGGAAAATATTATGAGACCATATGGTGGGAACAACCTGAACTCAAAACAGAAAATATACAACTACAGGTTGTCAAGGGCTCGCCGAATGGTAGAGAGTGTTTTTGGAATACTTTCCAACCAATGGAGATTATTCCATAGGGTGATGCCTCTTCAGCCTACAAATGCTGATGGGGTTGGTGAAGGCTACCTGTTGCCTCTATAACTTTTTGAGGAAAATAGAAAATCAGCCAGAAGGAGTGCAGGAAGCTTCCTCAGAAGCTGACAACAATACATTACTGAGAAGTTGTCACAGATTGGGGGTCGTGCAACATCCCGGGCGATTGCTACAAGGGAATCGTACACTGATTTCCTTAGTGGCCAAGGAGCTATTGGATGGCAAAATGACCAAGTTTGAAGGTGATCAGATCAATATTACGCAATAAACATCACTAATATATCGAGGTTGAAGTTGCATATCTTGTTGCGTCATTGTGTGCCCCCCCCCCCCCCCCCCCCCCCCCCATCTAGCATTCAAATATATTCGTAACACATAAAAGTACTACAAACCAGTATATATTTGAGCATGTATCTAATCTGTATTAAATTCTAGATGAAACAAAACTTCTTGAAGTTCAATCCTTGCATGCTGAAATTTTTTATTTGGCAACCGTCTAAATGTCTGCACAAGCGATTGGGCAAATATTTCAGCATCATCTTGTTCTGGAAAAAACAAAAAAAACATTTAGAGGAGTAGCTACTGTTTCTTCATTCTGTGTATCTTTCCTGCAATTATACTGTTCATTTCAAATAATTCTAATTATCGATATCTTTACTTTTTTGTATATCAGAGTTTTGTAGTAGCAATAAATATGAATACTACTGACCTTTATTAACTAGGCGTAAAATGGCCTGATCGATATCCAAGCTGGAAGAAGACTCTTCCCTGTCTTTTCATATACAACGAGGGTGACATCTTCAGGCACACTGCTAGATGTTCTAAAATTAAGCAGGGGCCATATGTTACCTCATACTCATTACTTAGTAAGGCATCTTTGTTTTTCACAGGTCAATGATGATTACAGGATGGGAAAAGCAAGTTTTTAGTTTATTGTTATACATTGTTTCAAATAAAAGAGTTTTGTTTTCTATGAAAGTGTCATTTCATTTTATTGACATATCAGTATACTTAGTGGAGTGTATGACGTGAAATATTTTATGAAGTTTTATTCAGTCTTTGTAAAAATCAAAATAGGGCTTTTGTGGTAATGACATACGGTATGGGTAGAGTAAAAATGTTTTCCCCACCTCCTGCTTTTGCAGTACGAGTTTAAAAACTCTAAGCTACCCATAAACTCCCATTTTTTTACATCCACCCCCACTCCTACTCTCAAACGCCTTCTCTCTCCTGAACCTATCTTTCAACGACCTCCACCTTGTCTTGCATTCTTTCACTGTTAAAACAAGAATACCGGTGAATACTGTTATTTTCGGTTGCATTTGACTTAAAATGACTGTCCTCTCCGGTCCCCGAAGTGCGAGATAAACTTACCCCCTATTCCCATTTCCTCGCCAACCTCTATCCACGCTTTTTCCTTCAAAATTTTGTTCCGGGAATCAACCGCCCACAAACAACCCTTCTCCCTAACCAACTCTATTAACTTCGCAACTTCCATTTTTCGGGTTTGGGTTGGCCTAATTAATAATTGGTTGGGTTTTCGATAGTTAAATTTATTTCGCAGAGGACACGAAATTTCCCGCCATTGTTACGTGATAAGTGAACCGTAGCACGCTGCGTTAACGCATTCGAAGTATGAACACCCTCAACGCAATTGCGTTGGATTCCGTTCCCAACGCAACACAAACCTATGCGTCAGTGTGAACCATTGAGGTGTGGTGTGAACGGGCCCTAAGACTACGAAACGCGCAGCGTTTGAAATGAACTTAGCGGAACGCGCAGCGTTCAAAATGAACTGGCGTTTTTAGTAGCGTCTCCTATTATCCGTTAGTAAACTGAAATGATGCGGGCCTCAAGCAATGGCGGAGATCCAACTGGACTATCTATCTACCGGTAAGTCGGCTGATACAGAATATGGAATAGATGTTTTGTAACAATTACGTCGGATATAATATTGAACTTGTACAGAGTCTTTTTCGTTGGAAAACATAGAGTAGGAACAAAGAATTATATCGCCAAAGGTTACACTGCATCTTGGGTTAAAGTTGAAGGGTTCAAAGTCCGTTTCCACCTTTGATGTCGAAAGAGAGCAATATTGTTTTGACTTAGGCTGTCTTTTTATGAGTGGTTTCATCCGATGCGATAGATTCTAGGATTTGAAACGGTTGTGAATATTTGGCAATTTAAAAATTATTATTTCGCATGTTATTGTTATCCTTGTATCAGATCGTACCGGTACGGTAGCCTATATTAAAAGTAGACTAGGTATGGTACCATGTTGCCAAACCTTGCGCACATGTCTGTATGAAGGACCATATTAATAAACTTATTTGATTTATTGCATTTTATGCTTATCATAAGGGGTGTATGCCGCACTTTCATGTGTCTTAGGCTAGTATGGTCTTGTGTATACATCCCGTCTTCAATGTTGATAATCACTAACTGTTTTTTATTTTGCTTTTACGAGACGAATGAACATACATACATACATTTGCGTATTTTTTGTTCATTTCTTACCCAAGCCTCGTTTGCCTAGGTTTGTGTTTTGGCTTAATTCTTTGTGTGTGTGTTTGCAAAACAGAAAATTGTGCAGGACAAGCTAAACTCTATTTTAATCTATACATCAGTTGTGAGCAAAAACAAAATGTGTGAACTAATATTGTTTTGAAAATCAAAGAAATCAATCAAAGTTCAATTTTATCAATTCAATTAAGCAGTATCATTACTATTTATCTGAATTAAATTGGACCACCATTCACATTTAGCTATATATACAGATATATATTCCCTCCCAAGTCTATTAGAATTATATAATGAATTACGATAGTTATCTGTCATATATTTTTAACTTATAATTTTGTGGATTTATTTAAACCTATGTGTACCGGTATATCATTTTGTGTGTAAACAAGTCAGACTTTGTATCAACTTATATCTAACTGAAATTCTGACAGGAATACCCCCACAAGAATGCATCTTAACCAAGCATGAGAGCTGGAGTCTGAGCCAAGCTTTCAAAGTTAGATAGACAGATAGAGCTGGAGATACCAGAAATATCAGTGGCTCATATCCTAATCTAATTATCTGTCAACATTTATAATTTTTTCAAAACTTCATACAAATAATAAAAACTACCCTTTTCAGCTTGTAAATTTTTATAGATTTTAATTATAATATTAATTAAAAAGTTTCCGAGTTCAATATATATATTTGAAAGTTTTAATTTTGAAAAGTTAAACCCTTGTATCATAGTCCTGAGTCCTACTTCCACCAAGCGGTATTTGGGCAGATATAATAATGAGTATGAAGAAAATAAGCTGGAGCCCAGCTCTGACGTATAAAATGCCAGAGCTGGATCCACAGTTCGAATATACTTTGATGCTGGAGCCAAAGTCACTTTGATTTCGAACCAGTTCCCCAGCCCTGATCTGAACTGGAAAAATATGAAAAGAGTGATTGGGGGCGATTACCGGTACTTGATTTGTAAAACTGTGTCTTTAATACTAGTTTACATGATTAACAAGCAATATAGGTGTTGAGTTTTGGTTAGTTGACTCTGAGCAATTATGCACATCAATCACACTCTTAGTGTCAATGTGTTTTTTCATCAATTTTCACGTTTCTTATCAGATAATATTTAAAATCCAATCAATAGAATGACAGCGAACGATGCTCGAAAATAGGTGTTGAGTTTTGGTTTGTTGATTCTGAGCAATTATGCACATCAATCACACTCTTAGTGTCAATGTGTTTTTTCATCAATTTTCACCTTTCTTATCAGATAATATTTAAAATCCAATCAATAGAATGACAGCGAACGATGCTCGAAAAATACTATTTGCTGCTGTTTTCCGATATGTTGCCAAAAACACTCCTAGACCAGTAAAACATGGTTGGACAGCTACTGTTTCAACTTTCAGAAATGCTTCAAACACTTTACCTCCACTTTCACCCATTGGTCGTCTTATATATAATGCATCATGGAAACAGCCAAGTCTTCTACCAAAGTCTTGGAAAACTGCAGGGATTAGAAGGATTGCTTCATGCCCTAACCTTTTTAGAATGTTTGGTTTACCTTATAAAGGACAAGGTTTAAAGAAGCATGCAGCAACTGTTAAAGAATCAAAAAAGCTTCAACAGTTCATAGATAACAGGAAAAAGGAGCAGGAATGGGGAAGAAAATATTTTCCTGTTTTCCCAGATGTAATAACCTTTTTCAAGGCAGCCATCATTGCTACATCTGGAGTATTTGTTGGATGGATATTTTATCCTGATATTGTTGATAGAAAGTCTGCCCTAAATGATCCCACTTTGAGACTCAACAGTGCAATTATGCCTCAAGAGAAAAGAAATATTATGTTGAAAGTGTATCTTGGCCTCCCTTTACGAGCAATTTCACGTGCTTGGGGCAAAGCCAATCAGAGTATGAATCTACCAGTTACATTAAGACCTTATTTTCTAGGCTTGTTTACAAAAGCTTATGGTGTAAATATGGAGGAGGCATTAGATTCAAACCTGAAAAACTATGCAAATTTATCCGAATTTTTTCGCAGAGCCATCAAAACTGAAGTACGTCCAATTGACTACAAAGCTGACTTAGTAAGCCCCGTAGATGGTACAGTTCTTAATTTCGGAGAAGTTACAAATGGTCTTGTGGAACAAGTGAAGGGGGTTCACTATTCTTTGCAAAAATTTCTTGGGCCATTACACGCTGATCCTGTTCATCAGGAATGGGGAGAGAAAGATCTCTATCAGCACAATTGGTGCACTGTTCCACTGGAGAACTACATGAAAGCTATAATGCATAATCCAACTGAAAACAGTCTTTATCATTGTGTAATCTATCTTGCACCAGGTGATTACCATAGGTTTCATTCTCCAGCTAATTGGACTGTGCAGCATAGAAGGCATTTTCCTGGTGATCTTTTGAGTGTAAGCCCAAAGATAGCATCAATGGTGCCAAGTCTGTTTGTCTTGAATGAGCGAGTGGGTTTGTTGGGGAAATGGCAACATGGATTTTTTTCAATGACTGCAGTTGGTGCGACGAACGTTGGGTCTGTTGAGATATATGGAGATATTACACTAAAGACGAATAGACCAAAACGAGTTTATGGTGGATATTACGATGAGGTGTACAACAATGTTGAAGCACAAAAGGGGTTGTCAATGGGAGAATTTAATCTTGGTTCAACCATAGTACTTATTTTTGAAGCCCCAAAAGACTTTAAATACAGAGTTGAGGCTGGTCAGAAAATACAATTTGGCAAAGCACTGTGATTTTCTAGACATCCTTGTTGCCTCCGAAATGCTCAGACCTTGATTATTTTTGGTATTGCATTCAATTATCCAGCCTGAATTCTATCTACCTAATCTTAGGTAATTATTTTTGTGAAATTCTCAGTTCAAAAGTTCCATATGTTCAAATCAGCTGGATAGCAGATAACTTAGTATGCTATTTATTCCATGAACTATGTGTTTCAAATCATGAGATGTGGATATTATAATTGACTGTTTTCTGTATGAAAAGATTGCACATCTTAAACACACAACGCTATCACTTTTTATTCATTTGGTAAAAATTATTTTTTTTAACTTCATCTGCCTAATTGAAGTATTTAGAATTATTCTGGCCAACAAATGTTAATGTTTTATTCCTAAAGGATTGTCCCTTTATTTAGTACTTGATTATATGAAACAAAAAAGGTAGGTGACCCAATTTTATTATGTTCTTCAAAGACTTCCATTAATGTCTTTGTGGTTCTCATTTTGAATCGTTCTGTAATTAGCATTATGCTAACATATTTAACGCTTATCATACGTTCATTATTTGAAAGATTGTACTTGTTTTTCATGCAGTCACAATTATCTTATTTTAATAAACTTTCCCTATCAGTTAATTTGATTGATCTTTCTTCAGATCGATGATGGTATTTGGTCAGGCATATATTTTGTGCCAGGATGATAAAAAGCCAGCGTTCCATCGATCATTTTATTTAGGTCCTCTGACATAAATCAAAACAACACGGAAAGTAGACAGATGAATAGAATACAGAAATACCTAGTTTGAGCATACCTTGAATAAAGTTAAAAACGTACGAGAACGCACCCACCTGCCAACAAAAACAGACGCACAAGTGTGAACGCGAATCAAGTATGTTCACAATCGGAATGCAATAAATGCTTTGCTTGGTTTTCTAAAACTGGTACCAGTATAGAAAAACACTAGTTGCAGGAAGCCAAGCACCTTAACGGCACGGTCAGAAGTTTTCTTGCCTATATTTGTTTTAACTAAGTTTGTATGAATTTAACAAAATATCAACAGCACTCTACTTTTTTTCTGAAAATGATTAGGCTGACGGAACCCCTAATTTTTTAAAGACTGATCTGCACCGGAAATTTTGATATTTAATCAAAAGATCTTTTGTACTGCAACTTATGCAATGCGGGATTTGGGAAAAACACCCCCGCCACGTTTTAAAATAAAGTAGTAATTATCCAGTTGGGGTTCGGAATGATTTGAATTTCCAGCTCAATCTCGATTCCTAGCTGAATAATCACTATTTTTTTTTATTTTAAGCGGTGACTGTTTTTTTTGTTTGTTGAGGCTTTGTCCAAAAAATCCGACCATTGCTGGCAGGTAGAAAGCATCTCATGCTCCGAACCCATTGCGTGACAGTGAGCATTGGAAATTTGGTTTATATCTAAATTTACTGAATTCTTTGATGCTCTGTGAAAATGTTTGTTCTGCACAATATGTAATGAGTAACAATCAAATTAGAGCGGTTTCGTTTTCAAGTTGCAAACCAGTAGGAGTGCTGAGAAACAGAGCTTTCATCAAGCTAGGTGCTAAATTGAAAAGGGGAATGAGCAGAAGATAGCATTTACATATGCGTCCCGGGGAAAAGAAAACCCGAAAGACGACTTAATCTTATGGCTAACCACGACCTCTCGTCCGGTTGTCAGTCCATGTCGGGTATAAGATTAGAGAGTTATTTGTTTCAGATGCATGGACTTAATGGTGAAGGAAGCCATAACCGATCAGTGGCTACGTGAACCTCCCTGCGGCAGTGAGGAATCCATCAATTTTCTTGCACATAATTATCCCCCATTGAATCAGAACCTGCGAACCGAGGCGGGGTTTTCAGTGGTGGATGGTGATCGCATTCCTAAGCCTTAGCAAGATGCGCCACACCGAATACGCCATTTCCTCAACGACTCGTGTGGAACATTTCCTGAAAGCTGATTTATTCGTGATTTAACCACGTAATTAAACACGGTGGTTCAGTGATTCCCAAAGCGGCAGGTTTTATTAGCGTAATTAATTTTGTTTTGGAATTGTTTAACCATTTGAATTTTAAAGAAGTATACATCTTCAGAAGCACAAATTTTCTTTCAAAAGGTTCAAGCTAGGTCACTGTATAAATACACCATACTTACATAAGTATAATAACATTCCAAACGCCAAATATAACGCAAGTGTGAGTTAACCACTCGCAACGGCCGTCTGACGTCTTAAACAACAACGGGTTCGGGAGTTTCATGACATTTCATGAACGGGATCGTGTGAACCCCCTGCTGGTCTTTGGACTTATGCTGAAATGGCCAAACTCAAAAGTAAAAATACACTTATTCCAACCTTGGCTGTAATTGCAACAAAATTTTCCCTGTACTAGTAAATGGACAGTGTTCAAGTAGAAAAATGCAAAAAATATATGTCACAGAGTGTCAGAAATTGTGGCAAGATACAGTATTATCAGACACGTTTGCATAATACAAAATTAATACATGATTGATTGATCAAGATATCACTGCAAAGTTTCACGAAAATGTGACAAGAAAACTGAAGTGATATGAATGCTGTAATATAAACAAAATATTAACACTGATGTGAAATCAAAATTCACAAACCTGTAGTAAAGTTGCTGATTATAGTGACAAAGTATAGATGCTTGCATACATTAGGCAATATAATAATAGCTGTGGTAATGACTGGAGAAGTACACATACTTACAATACAAACTGTCTGTCATATATATGTACATTTAACCATTAGCGTAAGACTCAAGTAACATATTAGGCATGAAATAGTGACAACGGACTAGAAGCAAGCTGAAAATAGAAACATGGTTGGTTTTGATTCGATATTGTACTTTCTCCCCATCAGCCAAAGCCTCCCTCTCAGTGATAAAGAGACGAGATATTGTTATGTACATAAAACTCTTACTAAGGAGTTATTATTTGTTTAGCCACGTGACCTTGTTACTTCGATCATTAAACTGTACTTGACCACTAGCAACTAGATCAAGTGCTTTAGGATACGTTTGGTGTTCTGCAGTTTTCACTCTTTCAGAAAGAGAAGTAACATCATCATCTATTTCAACTGGAACAGCCGTTTGGGCTATAATTGCTCCTTCATCCATATTTTCAGTCACATAATGTACTGTACATCCTGTTATTCTCACACCAGATTTCAGAACTTGTTTATGAGCATCCATGCCCTTAAAAGATGGCAGTAAGCTGGGATGAATGTTGATTATTCTACCCCGCCAAGTCCTAGTAAACCACCCTGATAATAATCTCATAAATCCTGCTAGGCATATAAAATGAACTCTTTTCTTCATCAAAACCTCATGCACTGCAAGATCATATGCTTCACGGGTGGGAAAGTTTTTATGGTCCAGCACAATATATGGTATGTTAGCAGCAGATGCTTTCTTCAACCCTCCCGCATTGGCTTTATTAGATATGATAAGTGATATTGTGTACGAGGATGAAGCTGTATTTTCATGGTTAATCAATGCCTGCATGTTAGTCCCTGTTCCAGATATAAATACTGCTACACTCGGTTTTTCAGAATTTCCAATTGATGGGAGATTTAAGGCATTATCAACTTCAGTTACATTAGGATTCCACGAGTTTTTTAGAGCTTCTGCAAAATCATTGACAATAACTTTATTTTCAACATCTGATTTTTCTATATATCCAATGACATATGCATTTAGTTTAGATGAGGCCAAACGAACTCTACAATTTTCCATAACAGCATTTACCCCTTCTTTGGCAATAACCATGCACATACCAAGGCCACAATTGAAAGTCTTGAGCATTTCTTGGGAATCAATATCACCTACTTTCGACAACCATCCAAACACGGGTTGAATTTCCCACTGCTTGGCACAAATTATAGCACACATTCCATTAGGAATAACGCGAGCTAGATTACCATTTATACCACCGCCCGTGATATGAGCCAAAGCTTTTACAAAGTTTCCAGATCTCAAAACTGGTAAGAGACTTGTGTAAATTGCTGTTGGTGCAAGAAGACAGTCCAGCAGATTGCAATTGTTATCAAATGGTGCTGATTCCGATAAATTGCAGCCAGATATCTTGACAACTTCCCTAACTAGGCTGAAGCCATTGCTATGTAAACCATTTGAAGATATACCAACGATGACATCTCCTTCCGATATTTCATTTAAACGAGGCAATGGTGTGTGTAACTTTTTATCATAAGCACCTACTGCAAAGCCAGCTAAATCATATTCTCCATTTGCATACATGCCTGGCATTTCAGCTGTTTCTCCACCAATAAGACCACAGCCTGCAAGTTTACAGGCTTCAGAAATGCCATGAACAACCTCAGTAGCAATTTTAGATTTAAGTTTTCCACATGAAAGATAGTCCAAAAAGAACAAAGGCTCAGCGTTATGAGTCAAAACATCGTTCACACACATTGCAACAAGATCTTGACCTATTGTCGAATGACGACCACTTCCCTGAGCAAGTAGAAGTTTAGTTCCAACACCATCAGTTCCAGACACTAAAACAGGATTAGAGTAACCAGCTGCAGCAAGGTCAAAAAGGGCTCCAAATCCACCAAGCACTGCAGTGCATCCCTTACGGGCAGTTGACGAAGCTATTGATGAAATTCCATGAACAAATGCGTCACCATTAGATACACTAACACCACATGATGCATATGTAAGTTTCGGCTGGTTTTTTATATACTCCAGACCTTTCCATCCTATATCCTTTCGATAAAATGACCCTTCAAATTTGATCACTTCAGCACCAGCAAGAGCAATTCTTGTTGCATCTTCTAAGTTAGATGCTGTTGAACAAACTGACAAGACACGTCCTCCAGAAGTGATTTTGTTGCCATCAGAATCTAACTTTGTTCCTGCTTCGAACACCTTCAAATTTGGATTTTGATTGCCTGCCCCTATACCTGTTATCACTTTGCCTTTTTCATATGCTCCAGGGTAACCTGAGCTAGCCAGGACGATACAAACAGATTTTGTGTTTTTCCAGCAAATATGAGAAGAGTTGAGGGATCCTTTGCAACACTGTGTGAAAATCTCATATAAATCAGAATCTAATAATGACATGAGAACTTGACACTCTGGGTCTCCAAATCTACAATTAAATTCTAACACCTTTGCTCCATCCTTTGTGAGCATGATACCAGCATATAAAACTCCAACATATTTTTTACCTTCATTCTTCATACCATCAACTGCTACTTGCAAAACATGATTCGTTATATATTCGACCACTTTATGATCTATTTGAGGACATGGGCCATAAGCACCCATCCCTCCAGTATTTGGACCTTTATCGCCATCATACACCTGTTTGTGATCTTGTATTGGTGGCATCACAGCAATAGTGTCACCATCTGTAAAGCAAAGCAATGAGAATTCTTCACCATAAAGCCGTTCCTCCACAACCAAAGTATCACCAGATGAACCAAACAAGTTTTGTTCAAAAATATCCTTTACAGCTTTACAAGCTTCAGTAGCAGTTTCACATACCACGACACCTTTGCCTGCTGCAAGTCCACTTGCCTTCACAACCAACGCATCATAATTCGCTGTATTTATATG